CGACTTAGATGAGATTATTGAAGCGTGCAAGAAGTCTAATGCACACGAATTTATCAATGATTTACCAAATAAATATGATACAAAGGTTGGTGAGAAGGGGTCTTTGATGTCAGGAGGCCAGAAACAAAGGTAATTAAAGAATATGACTAGTTGAGTAAATTCTTAGTGATAATAAATAGACATTCTTATGTTAATTGTTTAGGATTGCAATTGCCCGAGCTTTAATTAAAGACCCGCCGATATTACTACTTGACGAAGCCACTTCTGCTTTAGACACAGAATCTGAGCGTTTAGTCCAGGAAGCTTTAGATGCAGCATCATCTAATCGAACGGTTAGTATTTTTATGGTTAATTTATTTTTTAGGAATCCATTACTAATTTCTGTGTACTTCGTTTCCTTCTGATCGATATACAAAAGACTATAGTGATAGCTCACCGTCTTTCCACTATAAAAAATGCCGACAAAATAGTGGTCATGTCTAAAGGAGAGATTCTTGAAGTCGGTCGTCACGAAGAATTAATTTCCAAGCGCGGAGTATATTTTGGATTAGTACAAGCCCAGGAATTAAAGGTCAAAAATGATGCCTCGAAATTAGGATTATTCCCCGAAGATGAAGAGGATGACGACCTATTAGATGATGGCGATGATAACGATGATATGAAAATAACAATTGAAGATGAAAAGCGACCAGGAATGAATTTGCGTAAGGTTTCCACAAAGGCATCGACCACGAAATCAATTAAGAGTATTGAGGAGATTATAGAGGAAGAATCCAAGGAAAAGGTGAAACAATCAGCGCCGTTTGGTCGGGTCTTTAAATTACAAAGGCCTGAATATTTAATGATGTTTTTTGGAGCTATTAATGCAGCTGTAAACGGTAATTTATAATTTGGAGGTTTTTCTTTTCTCGGCGGTTTCTTAAAATCTTTAATGGTTAACTTATTTTTCATTATTTTATTTTATTTTTTAATTAGGAGCAATTATGCCTCTTTTTTCAATTATCTTTGCCACTTTACTGGATGTATTCTCAAAAACCGATAGGTAACGAACGTGCTAGGTTTACTCGTTATCTATATAAAAAATGTTATCACGTGCATTATTACCATTTTTTTATTTCATTTATTTCATTTATTATTTCCCTAAAAATAGGCCTCATGAACTTCGTCACGATGCAAACTTCTGGGCCTTAATGTTTGTGCTATTAGCCATTGCTTCATTTATCGCCAACTTTTTTCAAAATTTCTCCTTCATCCTTTCTGGTGAAAAGCTTACAAAACGTCTTCGTACAATAACGTTTGAAAAACTTCTCAAACAAGACATTGGATATTTTGATGATGAGAGAAATAGTACAGGCGTATTGACCTCTAAATTGGCGATAGATGCTTCAAGAGTAGAAGGGTTAACGGGGACACTTATGGG